TGAATCAACGCTTCTTCTTGAGCTGGAAATATACTATCATTTCAAGTTAATTTGAATGTTATATTTTATACAACATTTAAAAAATAGAATGCGAATATATTTTACTGAATAAAAAAATCCATGTAATAATTTTTCATAATTTTAAATCAAATGTAATCTTCTATTTTAAGAAATAGTATTTCAGAATGAAAAACCAAAATCATTTTCTATTTTAAACATAAAATTGAAAATTCAAAGACGAAACCGAATTAGCCCATGCTTGGTTCTCGGTTTCTGAATGTTGAAAATTAAACATGATTCATGAATAATGAAAAAAAATTAAATTTGATACATGAATTAGTTTATTTAATACTCATGCATTTATTTAAATCATGTATCCAAATGATTCTTTGTATCATATTATTCATAGTATGTAGGAAAAGTCATTAATTAGTCTATTAAGTTCATACAATGTATTTAGGATCCTTTGTACCTATAAAAGGCCTTGTGTTTGAGACATTTTATAAAGTCAAGCCATGGAATACAAATATTTTTTGAGAATTCTGTGAATTTTTCTATCCAGTCTTTGGGGTTATGGGTTTAGGGTATTTTAGGGTTTGGGGTTTTTTTTTTTTTTGGGAAAATAACACTAGTGTGGCTTATTTTATAATATAGGAAAATGAGAATACACATAAAGGAGGGCGACATAAACCTGACCTCCTGTAAGTGAAAAAAATTACAAATGTCTCGAATGAAGCGCAAATTATATTAAACAAAATGTGTCTAAAAAACTAGTGAATAATACTGAAGGGTATTCTGTAGGATAAATCTTTGGGTGATAGCACATAGACATCGATCGTGTCATGCGTCTGGTTTGCAGTTTCTGGGACACAGTGTACAGGCCATGTCCGGGACACGTCCTGGCTACGGCAGGGACGCAACCTGATTTTCAAGAATTTTTAGGCAGTTTGTGGGCAACGTTTGTAAGCCACGTCTGGGACCCGTCCTGGCCGCGGTAGGGACACAATCTTATTTTCAGGCATTTCCAGGCAATTTGTGGGCACAGTATGCAAGCAATGTTCGGGACGCTTCCCGGCCACGTTAGGGACGCAATCATATTTTCAACCAAATGAAGGAAGCACAGTGTCTAGGTCATGTCAAGGACGCAAGCACATTCCCAAGCATTCTGGGCAGTTTCTGGGACATGATGTACATGCCATATTCAGGATAAGTCATGGTCACGACTGGGACGTAGCCTGATTTTTAGGCGTTTTTGGACAGTTTCTGGGCACTGTGTTCAAGCCATGTCCGGGATGTAGCCTGATTTTCAGGCATTTTAAGGTAGTTTCTAGGTTACAGTGTGTAGGCCATGTCCAGGACGTGTCCGAACCACATGAGGGATAGAGCCTGATTTTCAAGCATTTCAGGGCAGTTTTTTGGGACGATGTACAAGCCATGTCCGGGAAGCGTCCTAATCGCGGCAGAAATGCAACCTGATTTCTAGGCATATCTAGACAGTTTTTGGGACATGTTGTGCAGGCAATGTCCAAGATATTGCAGGGATGCCGCCTGATTTTTAGGCATTTATGGGCAGTTTTTGGGCACTATGTGCTGGCCATGTCCGGGATGCTTCTTGTCGCGACAGGGACACAGCTTGATTTTCAATCATTTATAGGCAGTTTTTAGGTCACAGTGTGCAGGCCATGTCCCGGATGCTACAGGGACACATCCTAATTTTCACGTATTTCTATACATTTTCTTGGACACGGTGTGCAGGCAATGTTCGGGAGGCGTCAGGGCTACTGCAGGGATGCAGCCTGATCTCCAGGCATTTGTGGGTAGTTTCTGGGACACGGTGTGCGGGCCATGTCCAGGATGTAGCGGGGACGCAGCCTGATTTTCAAACATTCTAGGCAGTTTCTGGGATACGATGTGAAGGCCACATCCGGGATGCAATCGGGCCACGGCGGGGTCGCAGCCTGATTTTCAAGCATTTTTGAGAAGTTTTTGGGCACGGTGTGCAAGCCTGGTCCTAGACACAGCCAGATTTTCAGGCATTTCTCGTTAGTTTTTGGGTCATGGTGTGCAGGTCATGTCAACGATGCGTTAGGGCCACGGCAGGGATGGAGCTTGATTTTCAGGTAATTTCGGGTAGTTTCTGGGGATGGTGTGCAGGCCATGTCCAAGATGCGTCCTGGCCAGGTAGGGACACAGCCTGATTTTCAAGTATTTCTAGGCAGTTTGTGAACACGTCGTGTTGGCCGAGTTCAGGACGCATCTTGACCGCGACAGAGACGCAGCTTGATTTTTAGGCATTTCTAGACAATTTTTGGGACTTGGTGTGCAGGACGAGTCTGGGACACGTCATGGCCATGGCAGGGACTTAGTCTAATTTTCAGGCATTTCTACGTAGATTCTAGGTCATAGGGTTTAGGGTTTTTCTTCAATTAATTTTGAATTAAAAGTAGGAAATATAGACATGACAAAGAATAATAAAAATAAAATGTAGCTCAATGTTACAACCAAGAATAATAAAATTAGTCTACACAATGAAACCAAACTTCCCACCGTCACAGTGACACAAAAAAAATCCCACCGCCGCCTTTAGACCAGTACCACCGTTAGTCGGGGCAAGCCCCAGTGCATGGTAGTGGTGACGGTGATGATGATGATGAGGAGAAGGTGTATGCGTTGTAGATTGGTGGCTGGAGCCATGTTTATTGGACAGAACCATAACCTCAAGCTTTTGACCCTTCTAGCAATGTTCTTCAGCTCCACTGATGAAGAAAAATAGACCTGATTTTTCTAGTGAAATTGTAGTTTCTCCATCATGGTGTGATTTTATTGGATTGGCGTTGTTGCAGATTTTGTAGTTTCCTCGGTCACTTCCAGCACTTTTATTACAAACTCCCTTGCTTCAGAACGAACACACAACAAAAACACGACGGTCGAAAATAAAAAAATAATTTTCAGTGAAGCCATTTTAACACGGTGTGCAGGCAATGTTTGGGACGCGGCAAGGATGCAACCTGATTTCCAGGCATTTCTAGGTAAATTCTTGGACACAGTGTTCAGGCCATGTCAGGCGCGTCAGGTACGCAAACTGATTTTAAGGCATTTCTGGGTAGTTTCTGGAACACGGTGCGTAGGCCATGATCGGGATGTGCTTGGGCCACGACAAGGACATATCCTGATTTTCAGGCATTTTTGGCAAGTTTTTGGCCATAGTGTATAGGCCACGTCCGGGACGCCTCCTAGCCGTAGTAGGGACACAATCGGATTTTCTGGCATTTGCAGGCAGTTTGTGGGCACGGTGTGCCGGTCATGTCCGGGACGCGTTTTGGCCACGATAGGGACGTAGCTTGATTTTCAGACATTTCTTGGCA